CCGCCTCGGCCGGCGCAGGCCCGGCGGACGTGCGCGCCGAGAGCCGGTGCGTCGCGCCGCGCGTGCGCATAGCTCTAACCTGAGGGTGGTGGGGGCCACGGCGGGGCCGCGCCTTGGCGTCGGAGTCTCCAGCCCTGGAGCGGGGAGACTTAGCGGAGCGAGACTGACGAGCGGCGTGTTGTAAAGGCTTCGGTCCTCAGCTGTTGGGCTGCTGGCTAGTGGCGCAGTGGTTAAAACACTAGGCTGCTAACCTGTAGGTCAGTGTCCGAACCGACCGGCCTGTCTGCGAGAGAAGGACGTGACACTGTGCTTCTGGAGAACTTGTTGACGTTTGGTGCCGTCCGGTCGGTTCCGACTCCTAGCGACCCCATGGGCAACAGAAGGAAACACTTGCCCGTCCTGCGCCATCCTCACAGCCATCTTTGCTGCCACTGTGTCCATGCAGCTCATTGAGTCTCCCCGTAATCTGTAAAGATTACAGCCTAGGAAACCCTGGGGAGCAGTTTCCTGTGTCCTGTAGGATCGCTGTGAGTTGGAACGGGCTCCACGACTATGGGTCAGTGACTTAATAGTAAAATAGATCCCTAGGTTCCAATATTTTAAAGTGCCCCCGTCGTGTGGGTTTTTTTTTATTATTATTGTTTTATTGTGATTTGGGTGCAGGTTTATAGAGTAAATGGTTTTCCATTCAAGAACTGATACACATTTTGTTTGGTGACACTGACTGCGATCTCCGCAGCGTAGCCTCACTCACTCGGCTCTGCGGGGCCTGTCCCCCTTCCTCCTCCTCCATTCTTTCCTGCCTTCTGAACTTTGTCCTTGGGAAAATACTGCCCTTTCGATCTCAAATGGTGGTTGGTCTAAGGAGTGCGTACCCCCTAGTGTAATTGTTCACCCTGCGGACCTGGCTGCTGTTTGCGTGAGTTCAGTTCCAGGCTTGGAGGGTAGTTAAGGACCATAATGTGGGGGGTTCTAGTCTCATTCCCATCTGTGAGATCGGCCTTTTTTTTTTTTTTTTGATGTTGAGTTTTATTCCACAATTTTATCCCAGTCCATCTGAAAAAAAAAAAAACAAACAAACTCACTGCCATGGAGTTGGATCTGACTCATAGCAACCCCTTCTTGAGTTTCCAAGGTGGTGTCTCTAAGGAGCTCTGGTAGCATAGTGCCTAAGGCATTTGACTGCTAACCAGAAGGCTGGTGGTTCAAACCCACCCGCCACTCCTTGCAAGGCAGGTTGGGCAATCCACTTCCATAGTGATATATCCTTGGAAACTCAAGGAGGGGTCACTATGAGTCAGGTCTGACCCAACAGCACATAACAAACAACAATATCTCTAGGGAAGTAGATCGTGCTTTCCAGAGGAGTGGCTGGTGGGTTTGAACCGCCACTCTATCTAGGACCTTCTATTGTGATCCCTTTCAGAGCAGTCTGCACTAGCTGGGCACCATCTAGTTCCTCTGGTCTCAGGGTCCTAGTGGCTGAGGTTCACATGGTTCATTAGTCCTTTGGACTAATTGTTTCCCTACATCTTTGATTTTCTTCACTCTTCTTTGCTTTGCATGGGGAGAAATCAAAAGTTGCCCTGAAGATGGCCGGCCGCTCATAAGCTTTTATGACCCTAGTTGTTACTGCTACTTACCAAAGCAAGGGTGTAGAACAATGTGTTTGTGGACTAATTTGTACCAATTGACCTTGATCCTCTAAGACTGTGTCCTAAGCCACCAGGCCCAGCAACTCATTCCTTCAAGGTACTTGGTTATAGGTAAGAAGTTTTCATAACTTTCCGTCTACTGTATTCATGGATGTCTTTGCAGCACCTGTAAGTACATAGGCAGAAATATCCTCTGTCAAGCCTGTACAGAGTGAATAGTATTACATACATAATCCTGCAATAGCAGTAACGACAATATTCTACAAGTGGATGCATACACATGCGAGAGCACAGATGTGGGAAGGCAAATGGGACTACATCTGCAAATACACATATAGGTTTGACAGAGGATATTTTGCATATGTATTTACATACGTCACAAATATATCCGTGAATGTAGTATGGGATACAAGGGCAAATAACTGGAAATTTTGTCCAAGGGGTAGAATATATATCTGTTTCTATAAAACTATGGAAAACAGAACACAAATCAAACAACTGTTTTTCTGAAATTCTGTGCTCCCATTTGCTCTAACCTAAGCCATGGTATTTTCAATCACCTCATATGCATGTGAGAGCTGAACAACTAGTAAGGAAGATCAAAGAAGAGTGGGTGCTTTTGAACTGTGGTGTTGGTGAAGAATACTGAAAGTACCACAGACTGCCAGAAGAATGAACAAATCTGTCCTAGATATAGGACAGCCGAAATGCTCCTTGGAAGCCAGAATGGCCAGACTTCATCTCACCTACTTTGGTCATGTCAGAAAGGATCTTTCCCTGGAAAAGAGTATCATGCGTGGTCAAGTAGAGTCAGTGAAAAAGAGGAAGGCCCCCAACGAAATGGATTGACACTGAGTCTGCAACAATGGGCTCAGGTATAGCGAGGATCGTGAGGAAGGTGTACGAGCAGGCAGTTTCATTCTGTTGTACATCAGGTC